TGTATGAAAGTGGGATTGAATCAACCTGCTATACAATTTTATTAGATAGCTTGTCTAACTGATGATTTGCGAATTCACAAGGTTAAATTATTAGACCACGAAACAATTAAGTTGCAGATGCCACGAGCAGAATGAACTGTGAAAGAGCATTTGAATGCAGTCATTCTTGTGGCTTTATCAACTCTGAATACGTAGTGCAGAAATATATGCATTTATTTTACACCATAATTTACACAATGCGTTACCTTTTTGGGGGGGAAGTGAATTTGAAAGAAGGACTGCAGCATGGTTATATGCATTATCCTTTTGCAATCAGATTGGCAAAAAGCTACAATTTCAAACAAAAAAATTGTGTCATACAGAACTTGAATTATGGCATACATTTTTATGCGCTCTCCCAAAAGTGCTTTTCCAAAAGACAACTGGACTGAACAACTGAACTGAAGAAGCTTTTTGGATGAGAAGCAAAATGTTTTCAAGGAAAAAAACCCAAGGAAGTGCAATTGCCTTTTGGAAAACCACCTTTGGGACAACCATGACCTGGATGATTGAGCATCTCCATAGACTTTTACAGGCTCATTTACTAGCTTATCTTCTGCATGCTACATATAGTGTAAAAAGCAACAGAAGGATAAAGTCTGAGATCAGAAATGACCATACTAAAAAAGGCAAGTATTCCCATATGCAATGCTGATGCTATGTGACTATTTTGATATAAATCAATTTGAGATGGGATCTTCTGTGTGTAATAATTGAAGTAGTTTATGGATTAGCACAATTTCATTTGATTGGGCCCGAACCGGATTCACTGTTGGCTTTAATGCAATTACTACTGTATTCTTCTGCAGCTGATAACTCCCTCATATACAAGTGTTTGTGTATGTATCTATGCATGTATATATGTGTGAATTTTCTTGCAATTGATGAAGTGATGCCATAATTAACACATTTATTATGAAAACTTAAAATGTTAAAATATTCTTTGTTAGTTTTGCTGTAACAGATCAGTGTAGCTACTCTTATGAAATATAAGTCAAAAATTCATAAAAAGGTTCAGTATTATGCGTGCTCTTCCATGCTCTGCTTCCTCTTCTTGTCTGTTAATATTTAAAGTAAAGAACATGTATTCAGTAATTGCCATATTAATAAAACAAGATTCAGAAACTTTAATAATGTAAATTGCATTTGGTTTGAGAATCTGGGGATAGGAAGGACATAAAACAATTAGATGCTTGTCAGCCAGTATTTTGCTTTTGCAGCAAACTTCACAATTTTGTCACAGTCTGATGCTAGAAAGAGGAAAGAATATTTGAGCTGCTTCCAAATGGAGTTAAACAACTCTATGCCAAGAAAACGAAAACTTCACTTGAATATTGTAGCAATAATCTCTTCACACAAGTTATCATATACGTTTTTGTTACAAGTAAGTATTTACAAGAACTGAATTCTGAATGCAGTGCAATTTCCCCCCCTTGTGCAGCAAAATGAAGCCTATATGGGATACACACAGAATTTTAAAGAATGTGCCTGCTAGAACATTATGGATAAAATAGTAACTCGAGACTTACTAATATATAAAAGCAAACCCATTGAAATCAACGGAACATATAAAACACAATTAAATTCTTTTATGGCTAAATGTGGATCAAAGTAAGAGTCAGACTAAAGCTGCTTCTTGAAAATATGAACAAACAAGAAAACAAAAATACAAATGCAAAAAGATTTTTGAGCCAACCCATGAACAATAAGTTTAATAGTTTTCAGCAGACCATAGCTTTCTAGAAGCTCCACTGTCTCATCTAGTTGAAGATGGACATACAGTAAACACAATAATATATGATACAACCCATCACAACTGGATTAAAAAAAATACACAAAATATAATACATAAAAATGGTTTTACATTGTGGACTGACAGAGCTCTAAAAAAAAGGTGACCATAACCCTGGTAGGTTTTACAAAGTCTTTAAAAAAATAAAACAGTACTTCATGTGAAATTCATAAATACATGGGATGTGGGGGAGAGTCGGCTGTTAAGATTTGTGGTATATCCAAGAAACATTCATGAAGCATTCTTGACATTCTTTCCTTAAGCTTGCTATCACTATCTGGGGACACCAAATAGGCACTTGTAATCTACCTGAAAGTTGAGGCCAAGGGTGGAGGGGAATCTGAAGAGGAAAGCTGGGGATAGAAAATATAATAATATGACATGGGAGGACTAAAAAGGATGAGAAATGTAACAGTCCGGTTTAAGAGGAGGCCTATTTGAAAGGCTTTAGCTGATGATTGTCAATGTAATACAAGAACCTGCATTTACGTAAAGGCCTTTGTTGTTCTCCCCACATCTTTTTCAACAGAAGATTATTTTATTATACATGAGCTAATGAGAATAGGGAAAGTTTAAATCTTAATTCCTAGAATTTTTCATTTAGGAATGAAAAATGCTACATATAAATCAGCCAGCACTCCTGTCCTTATAGATGCTGATGGCTGAAACAAAAAGGAATTCAACATCCCAGGCACTATTGATTTTACCTTCTCCCATATTAGCTGTAATAGCTATTATTTGATACCAAGGATGCTGTACCTCTCCCCAAATGCTTGAGGAATCTCAAAACGTACCTGAATGTCAAAGCTGGCATTTATTGTCCAGTCAATTCTTCCTAAGAATAACATTTAGGACCCAAGGTTGTGGCATCACAGTGACCAGTTTGCCCAAACAACACATGAGGTTATGCTTGGAGCATTCAATTTACCAAGGACAGTGGAGCAGGATTAACATGAGGCGAGGAAGAAAGGAGAAGCATGATTTCCACTTGGCATTGCTTGATAGAATTTTCAGCACATGTTGCTCATCTCTCCAGAACACAACACGTTGTAAAATAAGGCACAGTTCTGAGCAAATTGAGACTTGGTTCTCTACAAATTCCATTTCTGTGTACCATTCCATTACTGTGACCACCTTGGGAACTCAATACAGAAAGGAGTGTTTGTTCTAACATTGCAATGGAGTTATCCAGAAGTTCTTGGGTGGAATCAATTACAATCAATTCATAGGGGAAACACCTCCCCCCCACAATCTTACTTGAATTTAAAACATCCTTCAAAGGGTTGGGAAACGACTCTGTCAGTTTTTCTTATGTTGCCACCTTGAAGTTGCATGTGTCACTCAAACAACAGTCCAAAGGCTCTTAGGAACATTCTTACTCTGCTGATCAAACTCTGAATTAGCCAGTGCCTTTGTACCTGGTCCTTCCAGCAAAAGCTGACCATTCAGGAAGTGAAAACGGTACTATGTCAATAATGTAGTGGTCATACAGGCCAATAGTGAAAATGAGGCCCACGTCAGTTATGAAAGAGAGATCATGATTTTATGAAAACAAATTTACTATCTACCCTCTCAGACAGACAGACAGACCGACAGTGGCAAAAACGACACCCCCCCAAGCACAAAACCCCTTGAAAAAGAAGGAATAACCAATGTTAAGGCAGACGTTTAACCTGAATATTATGACCCAGTGCCATGAACTAAATTCACAACTCATCTGTTTTAACGTATTTTTTATTCTGAAACTTCCCATCTACTTTTCACAGTCTCTTTGGGGCTCCTCTCCTCTGTACATGCTAATAACACTATGGGGAAAAACATTTCATTGTGATGAAATGTCTTCTTACAGCACCTTAAAAAAACACCCTCCATTTAAAGTGGGACAAATACCCAAGCATGAAAATGTAATAGTGGCAGGCTTTGACCTGTGCATTCCAAATGGTTCTAGAAAGGGGTAACCCCCCCCCCCCCGTGCTCCCTTTTCCAACAATCACATCCGTGCCTTGTAGTGTGCCCCTTTCCCAAGTACCTGCTTGGGAGTTCCTCCATCAGAATTCTACTAGCTTTGGGAAAGATCAATGGTCTAAGAGGTTAGTCTTACTGGATTGATCAGAAGGAATTGGACAAGAAGAGGTGCTTTAAGTTTAAGTAAAAAACCCGTAGGACAAAATAGGAAAAGCTTAGTGACAGAGACTCAATAGTAGGGACAGACAAAAACCATATATTCTGTTAAATCCTCTATTACTCAAAACTACGTGCTAATAATTAGACAGGGTATAGTTGAAAGTTATGGGCCTCAGTCCAGAAGATGCCATGCATGATGATCTTGACACTATTTCTGTAACAGAATTTGTGTCGTAGAAGCACCAATCTAAATTAGAAGGCAACTATGTTAGACTCTACGTTTAAAATCAGAGGCCTGTGTTTATACTTAAATGTCAGCATTTTCAGCAAGAAACAATACAGCCTTCAAGTGATGTGGGACTGCATTTCATCTTTCAGTAGCTCCTTAATTATTTTGATACTTAGCAAACCCTGCAAGGATTTGCTAGGGGAAAGATATATAATACAGAGGGAAAAATGTACCTGGATAATTAGATTCTGCTCTTTTTTCTGAGACTAGCACAGAAGAAGAAGAGAAATTAATATCTCTTCACCAGAATAATGCTTAGGCAGCAAGAACTTTGGTCTATGCTTTTCCCATAATGTTTTTGGCAAGGCAAATGTAAAAACAAAGAGAAAAGAGAAATAGCTTCTTATGAGAGTTATTACATTCCCACAGACGTATGAAATATGTCCAAGTTACTCAGCCTTAGCCAGCCCAAGTATTTCCCTAGACCATTATGCCAATGTTTCTCAACCTTGGCAACTTGAAGATGTGTGGATTTCAACTTCCAGATTTCCCCAGCCAGCTGTCCACAAAATCTTAAAAGTTGTAAAGATTGAAAGACACTGCCTTAGACAGTTATCGCACAATCCCCCTAGTCAGACTGTTAATTTCATGATTACCTCATCTGCTTTCCTCCCAGTGCCCTCCTTCTTCTAATATATACTCTAACTCATAATATCCCACAAATACTTTTAAGACCTTCTTTTGCTTGCTGGGGTTCTTATTCTTTTTTTCCCAAGTCAGTCAGTCAGTCAGTCAATCAATCAGTCTCTCTCTTTCTTGCACATTCATACCCTTGCCTTCTTCCCCTCCCCCAATCTTATACGACTATTACTCATGTCTTCTATTCAAGCATCTGGGACAAAATTGCCACACTTTTTGTCATAATCATCAGCAGAAGCCTTCCACCAGCTTCTCAGCTTGGGTGGGGAGGTGGGACGATGCAGTAATCCTACATTTAAAATGCCCAGGATATTGAGGGAATAAAGTTATTTCCTTATAATTAACCAACAACTCCCCATGTTGCCCCAACTCCCTATGTTGGCACTGCACACAGACTTAATCAAGAGATTCTTTAAAAAAAAAAAAAAAGATTCGTCATCTTCCTCAGTCACTAGATTGGTTAAAAGGCAGCATCAGATTTCCCAACCTTTTTTCTTAGAACAAGCATCTTCAGCCTGCCTATGTTAATTGTTCTCAGCAGATCAAGGCCACTAGGATAGAATCTGGAATTTGGCATGGAAAACACAGGCACATTTGGATATTAACAAGAGTCTCGTTTCACCAGATGCTGTTAGCATTCTGTTGCTGGGAAGGCATCAAGAGGTACCAGACCTTGGCAACAACATCTCCTGAAATACTGATGACCTAGCCCCCAAGATCAGTTCTTCCTGCTGCCTCCAGATACGATTCTCCTTTCACTTTATGTTTTCTTGTAATGCTTTTTTTCTCTGTTTGTTTGTTTAAAACGTTCCTAAGTAGAAAACATCTGTGATTGTAAAAGTCATTTTTTTTTGGCATTTTTTTTCTTTGTTCATTTTCAAAGGATGTATGTCAAGGCATCCTATAGAGGTGGCTTCTCTGACAAGACTTCTCTTTCCTCCATCTTCTTTAAATTGTCCAGTCAACCCAGAGGGGGCTTTAGTCTTTGACCAACTTGTACACATGATGCTGAGCTCCGTGCTCGCTGGTTGATACCTCGAAAACAAACGCTATGCAAAGTAATGTTTCCTGGGTATCTCTGTTTGTAACAACCTAGATAAAAAAGAAACACATACAGGGGGATCAGACAAAGTCAAACTGAATGAAAAAGTCAAGTTATACATCCAGACAAAGGGTAACATATTTTGTATAAAAAATGACCATTGAAATTTATGCAGGATTTCCTCTATCTAACTCAATAAATTTAGATCAAGTTAGATAAATCAGTTTAAATGATGGCATTAGGATGACGTTTCTCCCAATTTTACCACTCACTTACTTCTTATTTACAGAACCTCATGTCCATACAATGCCATTTTGTGAGGACAGAAACTTTTATTTGGGTTTCATGTTTTTTTTTGTGAACTGCTTAAGGTTTAACGTATAGGGAAAAGCAGTAAAAAGATACTATAGTGGAACCATAATTATCCCTACTAACTAGTCAATTTTCTGAACTGTATCCATTTGGAACTATGTATGAGCAGCTGTTAGGAATTGTTGCCTGAGTTTATTTTTTTTTCTCCTTTTTCCTGCCTTCTTTTTCTCTTTTGAATAAAGTTTTACTGATTTTGAAAATCAGTAAAAAAAAAAAGTATGGATGGATGAGAAGTAATTTACAGAACAATCATGTGTGTTTCTAAGAAACCATAAATATTTATAAGAGTTGTAGAGCTAATGACTTTCATTAGATTAGCTATCACATAACAGATGCACACCTGCACTTTAAATGAGCACAAATCCAGGGCAAAAAACCCCTAAAAGAACTTGTTACCAATAAATTCATAACATCCTGTTCCGAACAGGGAAAGGAGTTTCAGAGCATGTGAGGAAGTCATGGGACTACTCCATCATGTTCTGAATCTCAATGGCTACGTAGTCCTGAGAAGTAATTATGTAATTTGCCAATCATTAAACCACCCTTTTAAAACAAAAAATAAATAATGAGCACTAAAAGAAGAAAAATCTGAGAGGAAAGGAATGAAACTATTATTTATACTGGTAGTCCTTGACTTATAACTGTAATAGAGCTTGCCTGTTACAGTCGTAAGTTGTGACAGTCATAAAATGGGTCACCCACAGGTGTCATAGTGAAACCACGCCCACCCCATTGCCGGCAATGGGGAAAAAGTCGCAATACATCACGCGATGTCACATGACATCGCGAGTCTGACATGCCTGCTATAGAGTATTTTTGCTGAAAACTGGAAATAAACAACAACTTTCAGCAAAAACATAGTAAATTGAGGTCATGAGATTATGGGATACTGCAAATGACTGTAAATGTGGGCTGGTTGCTCAGCAACCGAAATATGGTTATGTGACCAGGGGAAACAGCCATTGGAACTTCGGAACTGGGTCATTAGTAGCCGTGAAGAGGTCCATTCAACTGATTCTAAGCTAGCAGTCGTACATCAAGGACTTCTTTTAGAGACAGAGTGCCCAAACTGTAACCCAAAACCCACTTATTTATCACAAAGTGCCAGGGCCGCATCAGCATTGTGGTGCCCTCGGGGGTGGGGCAAGGAGGTGCCTCTGAGTGCCGCCTCTGGCACGCAAAAACCAGGGGCGCAAAAATGGACTACTGTGCTGCAAGGTGCAAAAATGGCTGCAGCCGTGCTGCAGGGTGCAGATACAAGGTGCTGCACTACGCAAGAACGGGGCAGGGCTAGTAAGTATCACGCAGGCACTAGCGTGCTCGCGGCCCCGTGTGCGCATACACACATGTAAAATGCTTCCCCCTCCCTTTTCTTCCAGTCCACCAATCGACAATAGTTGGTGACCTCTGCTCTACCATCTCTACTCGAGCTTCCTAGTCGGCCGCTTCGCCTGCTTTGTGCTGGGTGGAGCTCCTGCTCCGGGCAGCGGTGGCGGCCTGATGGACCTGCTGCTGGTGGCGGTGGCGCGTGTGCCAACAGAGAGGGCTCTGAGTGCCGCCTCTGGCACCCATGCCATAGGTTCACCACCACTGCCCTAGAGAATTTAATTAATCTTGATTTGCTTTTCATCCTTTTATAAAGATTAGTTTTAGCATCTAGGCAGCAATAACACTAAAATGATTAAGAAGGGCTTTACTGAGCATCTGTGAGAAATGACAGAGCCAGCTACCATGTTTCCCTGAAAATAAGACCCAACAGGAAAATAAACCCTAGCATGATTTTTCAGGACACTCATAATATAAGCCCCACCCAAAAAATAAGCCCCATTTAAGATTGTCAGCCAGATGGACGCATTTAGTACCGTATTTCTCCAAATATAATCCTTAATCAGAAAATAATGCATCTTTTGGAGCAAAAATTAATATAAGACCCGGTCTTATTTTCGGGGAAACACGGTAGGAATCATAATAGAAGAAAGAAGAAAGAGTTTCTTTACCTGTAGGATGGTGAAATTCTCCAGGACACTATTCATCATGTATTTTTCTGGAAGATGTTTCAGTTTATGGATGAAGTTGATCATATACTCGCACATAGGAGACCGATGGATTCGATACACACATCTTCCATTCTCCATCCGAGCAAATTCAGTCTGCAGAAACACAGAGAGAGATCAGGTTGTACTCGTGAAAAGCTGCCAATGCTTCATCTGCAGAATACCTATACCTACTCAGAATGGAAAAAATAATCAAATGGAGAAAAAGAGGATGGCGAAACATTCCAAGAACTAGAGTATATTGAAATAGTGAACTAGGCTGCAGCTCAAATAACCTGCTTCTAGCAAGTGCATATATAGTGTATAGTTACAAAGCAATCTAATCCTTATGTTGCATTTTTTTTTCTGAGAATCCCTGTTTCCAATCCCACATTAAATATAATGAAGTTCACTTTTCTGTAGCATCTTCCTTCTGTTCATTCCTCATAGAGAAAGCATAGGACTCACCTCCACCTTTTCGACAACTTGTTTTCCAAAGGAGCACACTTTAGTGGAGACTGTGATGGTCATGTTTTCAGCACTGCTATATTGACTGCTTACACCATAAAAAGCACCAGGACCATCCTGTATAGTGCTGTTCAGATCCGCCTAGAATAGAGCAAGAAGTTCATGCAAATTAAACATGGATTAGAATGATTTATTGGCTCAGAATAGTGATCTAATTCACGCTAACTAAAAGAGCATGTTGATCAGTTGGACAGTGGAAAAAGTGGATGGGGTCCAAGCATCTTTCACCCAAATATATATGTCAAATCTACCTAGCATACAAAAGGAATAAAACCATTGCCAAATTAAGATTATTTGATACTATTTTGGTAAGGTACCTTCTCCTATCTAACTGTATATTACACCCCCAATTATATCAGCCTTCTTCAATGCTGGATGGTGGTTATGGGAATTGGTCCAACTTTCTGGAAGACTGAGGCTAGAAAAAACTTATTACAGGAATAGACTAAGAAGAATAGCAAGATCGTCTGCCATATTATCCTGTAAAGAAAGACTTAACAATCAGAGACACTGCTTAACTTCAACCTGCATGAAGTTCTTACCCAAAACTTGACAAGGAAAAAGGAATTCTGGGGTCCTCTCTCATAGAGCTCTTTCAGGCCACCTTTTTTCTCAGGAAACTTGTCATAAATCTGGCGTATGTCCACTGCTTCCAGCAGTGGGTCACTGTATGAGGGGTTCGTCTGTCCGATATGCACAAAAAGGTGTTTGCTATACTGTAATAGGAAAGAGAACAGATGGCATCTTTGTTCACCATGTAGGTTGAAACATTGCAAAAAAATAAATAAAAATAAAAAATTGGATACCCTTGATGAATTTGCCCTGGATGATTCAAGAGGTTTTGCCAATTGCTACCATCTGAGCAAAAGCAGATCAAAAGGCGCCATCGTAACATTTTATATTTCATAAGCCATTAAAGAGAATTCAGAACTCAAGTTCTGGGCATCACTTTTTAAAAAGGCCAGGTAAGTGGAAGCTCCAACGATATGTAAGCATGAAGTTATGATATAAATCTCATGATACCACTAAAGTGAAAACTCAATTATCTGGATCTTGATGCAATGGACTAAATTAACTTGTGTGCTATGTCATTTGTGCAATAAAGCCACCACAGAAATTGGGATGGGATGGGATGGGATGGGAATAACAGGTAGCCCTCAATTTGTCTTAAAAATGACACTCCATTGCATTCTGTAGGATAAAGCAAGATCTATCATTCTTTCCTCCCTCCTGTATGAATGACAGTGCCGAATTTCCTCTCTTAAGAGTTACCGTTTCAGGGTCACGCTGTACTTCCATGAATGCTGAATACTCAAGGAGCCGCAACTTGGCAGAGGCAATCGTTCGGTCCTGCCAGACTGGCACAGCTGAGGCAGAAGGTGGAAGAGGAGCCAAGGGCTCATAGCCTAGAAGATTGGGCAGGTACAACAATCTTAAAACATTTTCCAACGGAATTTTAGTTGCGGGAGAAAAGTATGGAAAAAATAATCTTTAACCACTGAGAAAAGCAGTCAACTGGGCCAGTTTAGTTCACTTTGGTTCATTTGTCAATCTTTCCAGGCAATTTAAGACTATTCCCTTCATTGTTATTCTGATTACATTGCATTACATTATATTCTCTAAAATTAGAGAATTTTTTTTTTCATTTCTGGGCTGTCTATGGACTTAGGAGATAGCAATATGAAACACACTGTCTCTTAAACGATGAAGAGGCCGTCATTGGACCTTTCCATTCTGGACAATAAGCATTCAGTTTCTTGGGGAAGGTTATGGAGAAGGTTCTCTCTGTTAGATGCTGCCACCTTGTGGGACTGAGGAAGCATGCCTTCTCTTTGTTGCCCTTTCCCTCTGGAACAGCAGTCCCCAAAAGATATTAATGGCCCCCCACTTCCCTGGAGTTCCAGAAAGTCCTTAAAACCTGCCTTTATCGCAAGCCTGGGGTTAACGGGTTTACTGATGTATTTGTGAGAGCTCTGTTGTATCTATACAGTTTATTGTTCTGGTTGTTTTGGTTTAAGTTGCCTGTTTATGTGTCTGTAACTGTTAATTGTTTTTATTGTTAATGGATTGTATAAGCCACCAGAATCCAACAGAGTAAGCAGCCATAACAAATTTAATAAATTAAATTAAGGTAAGGTTATTCGTGAACAAAATAGAGGTGCTGATTAGAAATCTGTCTTAAGGACAAATATCAAGAGTGCTATGAATTAGATAACTTCCTTGCATAAAACACGACTTAAATTCTCATTTACTGCTATAATAATACAAGAAGAAAGTGGTCTGCTTTTACTGAGTCCCTGGAGGAACACAGCATAACAAGGTTGGAAGGGACCTTGGAGGTCTTCTAGTCCAACCCCCTGCTTGAGCAGGAGACCTTATACCATTCCAGACAAATCTCTTCTCCAGTGGTGGAGCACCCACAATTTCTGGAGGCAAGCGTTTCTGTTGATTAATTGTTCTCACAGTCAGGAAATTTCTGCTTAGTTCTAGACTGAATCTTCCTTTAATGATATTCCACTAGTTATTTCTTGTCCTGCCCTCAGGTCCTTTGGAAAATAGATCAACCCCCTCTTCTCTGTGACAGCACTTCAAGTACTGGAAGACTGGAATCATGTTCACCCCTAGTCCATTTCTTCATTAGACTAGAGATACCTAGTTCTCTCAACTGTTCATTATACCCTTTAGCCTCCAGATCCCTGATCTTTATTGCTCTTCTTTGTACTCTTTCTAGGGTCTCAGCATCTTTTTTTTTATCATGGTGACCCAGAACTGGACACAATATTCCAAGTATGGTCTCACCAGTGCAGTATAAAACGGCACTATCATTTTATGTAATCTTGATACTATCCCTCTGTGGATGCAGCCTAGGACTGCATTGACTTTTTTGGCAGCTGCGGTACACTGTTGGCTCATACTTAAGTTGTAGTCCACTAGGACACAAAATCCCCATCACAGTTACTGTTGTTGAGCCAGGTACAATCTATTCTATACCTGGGCATTTGGGTTTTCTTGCCTAAGTGTAGGACCTTACTTTTCTCACCACTGAATTGCATTTTGTTGGATAGGGCCCAGTGTTCAAATCTGTCAAGGTCCTTCTGAAACTTGAGTTTATCCTCCAAAGTGTCAGCTATTCCTACTAGCTTGGTGTCATCTGCAAATTTAATGAGTTCCCCTTCTATCTCCACATCTAGATCATTTATGAAAATGTTGAAGAGTACTGGGACTAAGAAAGAACCCTGAGGTACTCCCTGCATGGAATGTTCTAAGAATCTAATATCTGAATAAGTACTAAATAATATAAATTATGTTTTCTGTTGAATTGCATCACTTCCTGCTCTCAACCAGTCCATATATCCCATTTTACAGAAGAGGATCTACAGAACAAACCGAGGCATCAAAGTGCAACCTAGAAAAGTAGTATAAAGACATACATACAGTAGTAGGAAGCTTTTGTTCCAGTTGTCAGAACAAAATTCTAGTCAAAGACTGAGAGTAACTATGGCCCTAAAGCAATAATTCCATGATTTCCCTACTTACTGGTTCAGCATTCGTTCAATATCAATTTGATTTTAGTGCAAAAATCCGTTTTGATATGTGTAAGTATATTATGAATGTCACTGTGAGCATAGCATCTTACATGCTGATTCTGTTTTTATTTTGCCTACAAGTAAGTGAACTGAGGACAAGCAAAAACTTATTTTAGAGAACACGTAACTTAGATGAGCAGCCTGCATTCATATGCTGCATATAAATTACAAAACATGCAGCCTAGTGGCACTATCACTTTCATTAAGATGATAATTACTCCAATTAAATTCACTACTGCAGTTGGTAAGAAAAGAGTTCTTGTGAGCAGCAAAAGAGTTGTACCGTGTAAACAAATAATGGAATCACATATGGATGGTGGTAAAGGAGACAGGAGACAAGAAAATTTTAGTTTTTGCATGGTAGAGCATCAAGAGGAGGCTAAATTGGAAAAATCAAGTGAGACAGACGACTTACTGGCTAGTGATGGAGGCATGGGTGGCTGAATGGGGTAGGCTGGTTGTGCAAAAGGTTTAATGCTGAAAAACAAAATAACATAGAATAGGTTAAGTTATTTTGAAAAACCTTCCTCTAATCTGCGTATCTCAGGTACAGCTTTTCTCTGAATATCAGATGCTAGGCAATGCGAGCAATAGTAAAAGGGGCAAGGGTGAGGCAAATGATGAAATTATGTATTATCATAATATAAATCTCATGATTTACATATTTACATCAGACATTGGGGTATGGGTGTAAAATTGCAGCATTTATGCCTGCATGTCATTATTTTGCCATCATTGGGATTTGCTGTATATGAGCAGAAGGGTGCTAGCTCTTTCACACCAGTGGGTTTCTCATAGTCACAGACCAGTCAACGTGGAAGCACAGTGCTGGACTTGATGGGTCTTTTGATCCGATCCAGCATAATCCTGGATTTCTGGAATTATATGTCTAAAAGTACTGACTCTCCAGTACTTTTATATCACATCAAAAATTTAATATAATTGATAAAGAAATATTGGTGGGCTTTGCTGTGGCAGGGTTTCTTAAGTGCAACATTATCCAAACAATGGAAGAGTTTACATAATGTTTTCCACATTTGAGTTGGAGCAATCTCTGTGTGCAACAGGTAACTAGGATTCAATTATTCTGTTTTTGAAAAATAGTAACAAGAGTTTGTTTGAAAACCCTAATCTTGCATCAGCATTAAAAATGTACCCATAGCATACAGCTCAAGCACCTACGCTACAAAAGTCATGTTCAAGATTATCCCATCCCACCCCATCCTACTTACTCCTGAGAAGAGCCAGACTGTCCTGGGATAGGCCCACTCCAAAACTGAGAAAGTAAAAAGGATAGAAAACATGAAATCAAGGATATCCTCAATAGTTGAAATCATCCCTCAATGATTCACAGCATGTTAAGGGGGAGTTTTTAATACGCTTTCTATAAAATAGTTTGAAACTTTTGCCACTAGCAGGCAGTTAAAAACTGGGACTACATCAGTGGGTACCTCTACACAAAGCCAGAGTATTTTCTTAATTTTAGTAAAGTAAAAGTTAGATAGAGGTAGGCAAACTGTGAAAGAATTAGTTGCTGTAACTGAGCTTCCTCATCTTTGCAAGAACCTTAGGAGCCCACCTGCTGATTTAGCACCATCACTGAAGAAAATGAGGCTGGAAACTTATATCCATTTTGGGGGGCGATGGTGGGAGAAGGCATGAGAATGGAGAGGAGGGTTTAGAGGGGCAAACCAGTATTATTTACACCCTTAAAATTCACAAACAATCTCAAAATTGGTACAGGTAGTCCTTGGATAATGACTACTTGTTCAGCAACTGTCAGAAGTTAGGGCTCCCACAGTCTCATGATCATGATCTTACGATGGTTGCAGTGTCACGTGGTCACATGATCACCATTTGCAACCTTCCCTGCCAGCTTCCCACAAGCAAAATGAATGTGGAAGCCAGAAGAGAAAATCACAAGTCACTCCAATAAGTAATTCCCATTCCTGCTGCTTTTGCTCCTGGGGAATCTGGCTATGGAGTATGAGATCCTGGGGATCCTGTACTACTCTACAGAATGTGCCCACCTGCAATCTGTAGTGCATGCCCAATCACCCAGTGGTACTTGTTTGTATGGTGCCCACCGACAAACTCTCCTGCATCATTAGGAGCTGCCCCTGGCTCACCATCCTGCTTGCAAGCCACTCAGGACTTCTTTGCTTAGTGATTAAACATGGCACTTGAGTTTAAAAAGGCAGAGATGGATAGCTGATGCAGGTTCGTATAAAATACCTAACATGTTTCAAATAAGCCAAGAGCATCTCTCCTAGGAATCCTTAGTGCTTATGTGGGACATTTCTTACCCTGGGAGCAGCAGAGAAGACAGCCTGAGGGAGTGGAGGAGGAGGACTCAGTTTGTTCTGCAGGACACTGGCAGATACAATCTGTGCTGAAGACATGGAAGCCATACTCTGCAAAGCCTTGTCCTTTGAGACTTGATCCTTCAAAATAGGATAAAAATGAATGAATAAACAGAAGGAGAGCTTGCTAATCCATACCATGAGAGTGCACAAAAATAACAAGCCACCTAAATTTTTAAAATATTTGTTACAATAAACATTTTCTGTCTGAGTTTCAATTACTGTACACTAACTATAAATCATTCAGCCAAGCTGTTTCTGAAAAATAATGAGATAGTTGCCACTAGTTTCAGAAAGCCGATTCTCAAGGAACCGTGTTAATCAGAGACAGTCAAACTCTTCAGTTCTGTACAACTTAAGTAGAGTCAGAGAAGCAAAGCACAGGCAGCTTCATAGCATAATGTTCAAATTCTCCAAACAGCAGCTTCTTATTTTCTCTTTATACCATTATCAGACATCGTTTTGGGTTTCACCGAGGTTAAGGATTTTTTTTTATCTTCTCGGGACCTATACGGTATTTAAAACTAATGAAATAAAGACAGGTCTGGGTGGTACTTACCAAGTTCATAGCCTGCATGAAGGAAAAAGAAAAAGAGAAATATGATTAGAACCCAGGTGTGGGCGAAGGATGAGGAAAATCTGCATAATATCTATAATCATAATAGGATTTCAAGGTATTGAAATAATCTACTTTACTTTGTCCAAAAGGCAACTGGACTTTGTTTTTCCTTAAAGACATTTCGCTTCTCATCCAAGAAGCTTCTTCAATTCTCTAAGTTCTTCAGTTTTTTGGATGAGAAGCAAAACATCTTCAAGCAAAAACGAAGAAAGTCCCAGTTGCCTTTTGAAAAAACACCTTTGGAACAACCATGATCTGGATGACTGAGAACCTCCACAGACATCTAACTTTGCTTTGTAAATAAATTACATCTAAGCAAGGCCAATTTACAATGTATCCTACTTCACAGAATCCTGGGAACTTTGGCTAAAAGGGAATGGGTGGAAAATCCCACCTGGCAGGATGCTAATCTCAGTGGATATCTTCTTCGTGTTCACAAATGAAGTGAACAATGAGCAAGTTTCTTTTTAAAAGTCAAACACTGAGCAGGCTCTCCAGTTTTGCTCTTTCACAAATTAGTCTAGGTCTATGTATGGATGGTAATACTCTTTGGCACATTAGACAGATACAAATGAAAAGCAATGCTCATTGTTCAATGTTCAATGTTCTCTTCTATCATGGGCTTGTACAATTATACAGAAGAGGTAAATTAGGACTATCATATCTAGACTGCAATAGTCTGGATGACAACTAGATGGCAAAACAAAGATACAGAAAACCTATCCAGGATTTTTGCAGGGCATATATGATAGCCTTAAGTAAGTACTGCACTGAATTATAGGTATAATTATAAATGTTTATGCCATATATTAAAGAATAGCAATGTATTCTAACATTAATATTTGGTATTTTTAAGAATATATTGCTTGCGTGCAGACAATTGTGTGAATCATTAGATCTTCTGCATTATTTTTATATTTTCTTTGGCTCCCTCATTAAAGTTTAAAGACTAACTCAGTGAAGTGGCTGTGAAGATGCCACGAAACATCTTTACAATCCAGAACTGAATCTGAGATAAGTTTATCAATATTGGACCAGTCTCAAAATCTCAATTCTGAACTAGCAGGGACAGAAATAAAGATCATCTCAGTAGATTTCAATATCACAATGCAGTTATAAAAGGAGAATTTATTTTCTGAGTATCCTCCCTCACCCCAAGGCACAAGTTGCTAGTAGTGGTGCCTACTGAGTTGGCTAATTCCAGAGTCTGAAAAGGGTCATTTTGTCATGAAGTAGAATATACAGGGCTTCATTGTTAATTACTTTGTAAGTCTGTTACAAATGAATATACTTTTGTTCACCATTTAACATTTAAAAAAAATCAGAAATGCAGTGTTGTGGACAACTAACTCGTATTAAAGCAGGCTACGAAAGCCATGTTTCGGTATAAGAACACACGCAGCCCCAGTTACGGGCATACAGATGCACATGCAGGAACAACATGGCTTAGCAATGTGACTGCACTGCTACACACTCAAGGTCCGGTATTTTCTTCCAAGGATCTTCCTTATATCAAAATTAAAGTACCAGCAACAACAGGATTAATTTGGGCATGCATCCTGTAAAAAGCTGCCAAGTATATCTCAAACCTAAGAGTTACAACAGCAATTTTTAAAAACCAGTTAAGATACCAAATATATTGCTTGATATGTATTCAAAAGATTAAATAATAATTGTTATTATGAAGTAATGACATTAATTTCAAAAAAGTGTTGATAAGTGATTTAATTACCAGTCCCTCTTTGTTCTCACTTATCTTTTGTGCAAGGAGCTTCAATTGGGGTATGAATACTCTTCCCATTTTATTCTTATAATAACTTTGGGAGGCAGGTCAGGTTCACTGTGTATACATGGCTTGTCTTCTAATGAACCACCTAGTATATTCAACCAGAAGCCAGTTGCATGGAGTTCAGTATAACCTACTCCCACAGATGCCAGTATAATATCAAATTTCAACTTGAGGAATAATTTGAAAATGTGCCTTCCTGGTTTCACTTGGACACATGGCCCACTTGGAAGAGATTTTGCCACTGGCAATATTCACAGCAAGTAGCTAAGGTTTACTCTGAATACAGAGCTTAAGGGGAAATTTGTCCTTTGTCCTTTTCTTGCTTACAAATAAGAAAAAGTAAAATATACAGTACATAGTGTCATTTCTAAAGTATTTGACAAAAATATTTCTTGGCGTCAATTGACTAGCATGCCAACCTCACTTCCGGGGTAATGTATTTTCTAATTTTTGTGGAAGATTTCCTACAGGGTCAGAATGAAAGTAAACATGCTCTAGAATTATACCCAATTATTGCATACAATTCACTTCTACATCTTTTTTTTTACTCTTCTATGCCAGTCTTCAACTGGAAGGATTTACTGAATTCTACGGAAACCTGGGCTTTGACAATAAATATAGGCAATGTAGTCTGTTGGTAAATAGTCAATATTTTTTTTGCTTTTGGGGTCAAAAGATGGGGAGACAACTATCTGCAACTTTCCCAATCCTACTTAAATATATTTTCTACCTTGGGGAATCTACAAAGGGAAGAGAGGCAATTTTGTAAATTTTTCAGTTCTTTCCAAAGCATATATTCATCAACAAAAAAGAAAAGATATTCCAGATCAGTTTAGAATATTCTCTGACTTCCTTTAGAACCACCCCACTCTCCGTGCTCCACCTTCAGACATTTTATTCAGCAAATCACAATACACAGAACACACGAGGGAAGGGATCAAGTTAGTCAATCTCCAGTTACAGAATAAGGAGAAAAAAAGCCAACCACAGAAGAAAAGGAAAGGCAATCACAGGATAAAGCTCTCCAGTTGCATCCTTGCCCAGTTTCCTTAGTTCCTGGTTTCATGAACTTGTTCTACAGATCCTGATTCAGCCACAGCCATCTTACGTTCCTTTCTGGTTCTGTGTATCTCTGTTGCAACCGCTGCATAGGCTTCCTTGCCAAATAATTTATTAGATTCTTAAACACATCACACAACAGTTTCCATAAGAGAGCTAGAGTAACGACTGTTTCATTTGCTCCTCTACCTGCTATGGTAAAAAAATAAATTAACTCAAGCTTAACCCACTCACACTAATAACTTAATAATTAAATTCAAAGTAATACTTAATAATGACATATTGCTATTATAGATAATTGTTATATAATTAGCAATAATAGTAGAGCTCAACACTCCCTTTTATTTAACATTAACAGGAAACCGCTGGTTAAAGTCACCTGCTGTTTGGAGTTAGGCATCATCAATATGCAGATGATGCTCAATTGTACATCCTGAACAGAGTCGATTGTGCTCTTTGTCACTTCATGACTGGATTACTGCAGTGTATTTTACTTGGAGATGTCTACCCAGAAGCTGCCAGTTGGTCCAGAATACAGGTAGTCCTCAACTTACGACCACAATTGAACCCCAAATTTCTGTTGTTAAGTGAAATATTTAAGTGAGCTTTGGCCCATTTGATGACCTTTCTTGCCCCAGTTGTTAAGTGAATCACGGCAGTTGTTAAGTTAGTGACTCAGTTGTTAAGTGAATCTGGCTTCCCCATCGGCTTTACTTGTCAGAAGGTTGCAAAAGATGATCACATGACCCCAGGACACTGCAACTGTCATGAATATGAACCAGTTGCCAAATATCTGAATTTTGATCACATGACTTCAGGGAACGCTACAATGGCTGTAAGTGGAGAAAACAGCCATCGATCACTTTTTTTCAGTGCCGCTATAACTTTGAACTGTCACTAAATGAACTGTTGTAGGTTGATGACTATTTGTATAGCAGTGTGGACAGTAATGGAAATAATTCAGACACAAGGCAACCGGTATTTATTTGTGACGATAGGAATGTCCTGGGGTCGTATCGTTCCCTTTTGCGACCTTCTGACAAGCAAAGACAATGGGGAAGCCAGATTCATTTAACAACGGTGTTACTAACTTAACAACTGCAGTGATTCACTTAATAACTATGGAAAGAAAGGTTGTAAAATGGGGCAAAACTCACTTAACAACTATCTTGCTTAGCAACATAAATTTGGGGCTCAGTTGTGGTTGTAAGTCGAGGACTACCTGTGTGCAATTCTCATGTCATTTCATAGGCCATTATGCATTCTGTATAGCTAGCTTTGTTAAGACTTTTAGGGTTATAGTTAAAGAGTTCAGGTGAAGGTATATAACAAATGTCACCTGATAGGATTAGTAGTATCACTAGGTGTTTATGGAAAAACAAGAGCCAGCTGTTGAAAGTCCAATCTGGAAAGTTCTTACTGGAAATTTGCTCTTCTGTTTTTCCACTGATCTGACATAAAATGAACTGTTTTAGATCACAGTCCTATTCAACTCCTGCCACATAAAGAGGCTCTATGACAGGGGTGTCAAACCGTGGGCCGGATGCATCATAGCGAAACCACACCCACCTCGTTGGTGGCAATGGAAAAAAAGTCACGATACGCCGCAACACGTCACATGACATTGCGAGTTTGACACCCCTGCTCTATGACAGCTACCAACCAGCTCTCTCTCTTCAAGAGTTCTAGCTTTGATCTGATCCCAGGATCAAAGGGAAAAGGGCAAGGACATGAAAGGAACAGAGTGGCGATAACAGAGTGCAGTATGTTAGCTGCAGCATGGCTACGGCTTAAAGGTGAGAAAGCTGGGGAAGCGCGTACCTTCAGCTTGGACTGAATCTCACGAGATTTCCGTCTGGCTAGAACCTGCAAGTGGCTAGAGACCTGCAGAGAGAAAAGCAGAAGGAGAGGGGGAAAAACAGCAGAGCCGTCAACCAGAGGAAAGGAAAGGAAGGAGAGGGGGCTGCCCATGCTCACATACCATGGATGCATGGGCAGGGTCTCCAACGTACCTTTATGCCAACCTGGTACTCTCGCACCTTCTTCCGAGCTAGAACCTGTATATGGCTGGACACCTAGGCCCCGCCAAGTCATTCAAAAAGGAAAACACAAAAAGAATGAAGGTATGACCCCATATTGAAAACAGTGCTTCAAGCACCCATGTGACACACACTGGCCTCCTAAGCCAGTTGAAGTTCTGACGGAATAATATCAGCTTGCAGGGTAGATAGCAGTTAATGCTTACTGAAAGAATCAGTTGAAGGAAGTTGCTGTAATCTTGCTGAATGACACATTTGGAAATATTCCTAGGAATTACCATTTTTAGGGTTCTTTGGCAGCAACAAATACTTTCAATTTTAAATTTATTATTTCTCAGGGACTTCTACACATTATTAACCATACTGATTTCAGAAACTAGTCAAATTCTGATCTACAGATATTTTGCTGCTTCGGGCCCTTCCACTCTTCTCAACTATGCAATCCCCTGTGTGCTTATTTGATTTTTCTTAATCAGGTAACTGAACTGCCTTTCATGCAATCAAAACTGTTTATGGGAAGGCTCTTCAAAATATTAGTTCTTGATACTATAAATACTGATACCTAGAAAATATGAAACATTTCTCAGCTGTTTGCAAAACTGCTTTTAGGGAGCAAAATGGTAGATGTGAAGTACTTCTTCAGAACAGAAATTAAATATGAGTTTATGGCTTTGAGAACTGGTTTAATATTTTGGATAAAAATCAGTTTATGATTGATTATAACTGATTAATGAAACAATCTTTGCAGGAAGTCATAACACATAGTTTTCATTAACAAAATATTGATATTATACACAAAGACAGGTGAAGGAATTCACCTAATATCTACATCAATTTTAATCTGTGTTAAAAACAGACAATGGAAATGGCTTTTTTTTTTACTCTATATACATTCATTTTAAACTTTATATTTCTGTACAGACACAGCTCTATACAAAGCACATCTCCAATGATTGGGAGAGCTGATGAAATGCAATAAGCCAGGCAATAGGAAAAAAAACCCCAAAATAAATCTGCTCTGTTTTATAGTGACATGCTTTACAATCCATTCCAATCTCTTGGGACAGTTTGCAGTCCCAATAAATATGCTTAGAATTGTCTTATAAACCATTTCCTGCTATATATGATTTTCAGTTTCAGCAGAAAGTTATAGACTGTTAGCTTTGGAGCTGAGAATCATATCTGTAAAGATAAACAGCTCAACATGAAAGATCTGCTTTCAGACAGTCCAATAAAGATGCCTAGAGAAATCAGCCCAGATGTGGGACTGGCATTTCCAACTTCACTGTACCATGGAAGGACACAAAGGAATTAAAATTGGAGGAATTGATTGTAATTCTATAAACAATGATTTTCCTAGTCCAAATAGACAGCTTTCATTAATATGTCACGCACTGCAATCTAACATAGCTAACATGGAGTTCCACAAAGAATTCTGCCGCTCTCCACTAATGAACCCCTAATTATTCTGAAAGTTTTACCTATCGGTTTGAAGAGGAAGAAAATGGAAACAAAGGTTAAACTGAAGTTTCATTCATGACAGCTTTTACAACACAAATGACATGACTGACTGCTCTTTCTCCATTAATTAAAAAAAAACAGCTAGAAGACCATCGGATAGGTGTACACATGGTATATTCCCCATCCCAATTCTGTTTTTTATATTGTACAACAATTTTTTTGAGATTGACCAGAAGAATGAAAGTTTCTGATTCAATTAGGCAGACTTAGCAAGTAATAAGAGTCAAGATCCAGTAATCATCTAGAGCAGGGGCCCCCAACCTTTTGGGCACCAGGGACCGGTTCTATGGAGAAAGATTTTTCCATGGACCAGAGGAGGCGTGGTTTGGTGTGCTGCCTGTATCCCGTGGATGAGGCTTCGCTTGTTTGCGTGGCCCGGTTGCTGGCATGCTGTGGCCCAGTGCCAGTCCACGGGGGTTGGGAAACCCTGTTCTAGAGACTGTCCACAATGTGGTATGCAATCTCACGTGCAAGGAAAAAGCACAGCCCAAAATTTGTTACTGCCGGGTTTTCCCGAAAGTAAGACCTACCCTAAAAATAAGCCCTAGCTTGGTTTTGGGGGGGTGGGCCTAATATAAGCCGTGGTCCAAAAATAAGCCCTAGTTTTGGGGCAAGACGCACGTCTAAAAATCAAGCTAGGGCAGGGGTGGGCATGGAGCTTACCACTGCACCCAGGTCTCCCGGCCCACTTCTTCTGCAGCTGAAGGAGCAGCTTTATTCTGCAACTGAGAATGGAGCTCCGGCCTGCATTTCGTAGTCGGAGGCCAGGCCTCAGCTGCAGAAGAAGTGGGCCGGCTGGGATAGCATGGGCAAAGGGATTAAGAATGATAAAGTGAAATGAAATTAGTTAGGTAGAAGTACTTATATAAAACCTTAGCCTTTATTGAATTAAAACTCAATAATATAGCTGGTGAGTAATTTTTAATAAAAGCCCTTCATTTTTTCCACTGACATGTTTGCATTCACTGGTTTGCTAAACAGGTCTTCCACTTCAGGATTCTTCCCAGCTTTTTATAGGGTCAAATGGTTCTTAAGTGGTCCTCCAAAGCTGCCTAATTTGAAAGGAAGATTCGCTAAAAGCCAGGGGCAATTTTTATTGCTTGTAACAGCAACTTACAGATGTGTAGACTTCACTTATAGAATATTCAGCAATAGCTGGCTGCAGAATTTGGAAAGCTGAAGGCCACACATCAGGAAATCACCCATATTGGGAAAACTCTGACAAGTGATTTAGTAGCTAGACTTGCCATTCTTAATTCTTAATTCCTAAACTTTAAATTATACAATAAATAAAGTGTTTCTGAAATATAAATCCAGCCATATGAAGTCAAATGATTGAAGATATTCTGGTGGGTTTTTTTGTGTGAGATAAATAGCGGTCATCCATAGGAAACCTATGTTAAGAAAGATAAAACAGAAATCTCACAGCAGACCAGTGACTGAGTCAAAATGAGAACTTAAAGATCACATATCTCCTTGGCATGATTTTTGCCGGTTAAATTATCCACCATGTAAGTTAACAGTACACCAGATCACAGCACTGGAGCATGCATATATCAAAAAACATGCATGTATATAGATTAGCAATGTTTTTCATTCTACACACTTTTTAAAGGGAGAAGCATGAAATGCATTTTTACCTGTTTTCTAGTCCTTGTCTTCCCTGTCCGTAGCTTGATGTATCTTGCTATCAGTTCATTGCGTCCTAAATCAGAAAAGGCAAAGATGTAATGTGATGAATGCACACTGTCCCACTTCTTAGGAATAAGGCTGCCCTCTGAAAAATCAGATCTACCTTCCTAGATCCTTCAAGCTGACAAACAGTGTGAACTCCTACTCCTAACTCAGTGATGACATTTTACCAGAAGATGGCACTAACGCAACTCTTCTCTAATTGAAAAAGATGCTCTGAAAAAAATCTCTGCTTAAGGCCCTGGTTGTTTATGCATTGAATCAGATATCCACAAAAAGTCCATAGTGTTGGCAAAAAACAACAACAAAAAACCCTGGTGCTTAAGCTGGACACTCAGAAAACAATGCAAACATGGGACACATAGAGATGTAGCTAGAAAGACATTGTTCCCTTTATATAAATTATGGGATTTCCGAGGACCAGGATTTGTAGCCTAATCTGGAAACCCAGAATATTTCTTCCCCTATTCTGCCATTTTAATTCAGCTGTCACAGGAAGATGCATTCATGCTTGGACCAAGACATCCTCCTTCCCATCTTCCTAGCTTTCGTGCATGACTCCAAGGAACTTTTATAATACAGAAGAAAAGAGTTTTTTAAAAAGCTGTAAAATACAAAGGTATGGATGCTCAGAGTTTGAGGTCTGATATACAACAGTCAACAGGATGTGCAACCTACTGGGATGTTTTAAGTGGCACTGCCTTCTGAAAGGAGCTTCCCAGCCTCCTCTCTGTCCTAATTTGAAGCAGAAGAGCTTTTGCTCCACATTTTACAGGCCAGCTGTGGCCAATCTAAATTCAAACGTCAGAGCAGCTGGGAACTTTCTTTTCCCTCATCTCCCTCCCCCCCTCAACATGGAAGGAGAATAGTTTTGGGGAAGCATGCCAGATTTATTTTGATGGACCAGATGGTATTGGCTAAAGCTGGCTGAAATGCCCTTGCAGCTAACTTAGAACAGAGAGGGGGGGGGGAGAGAGAGAGAGAGAGAGAGAGAGAGAGAGGGAGGGAGAGAGAGAGAGAGAGAGAGAGAGAGAGAGAGAGAGAGGGAGAGGGAGAGAGAGAGGGGGGGGGGGAGAGAGAGAGAGAGAGAGAGAGAGAGAGAGAGAGAGAGAGAGAGAGAGAGAGAGAGAGAGAGGTTTGTAAGCTGAAGCAAGTGTGGTTTTTCTGGCATAGCTAGAGTCCTGTTTTCCTTTCAAGGAAAGCATTGCTTTTCAGCCTTGGGGACAGAAGTCTTAAATGAAGTCACATCACAGTCCGCCAACCATGCCTCTTCTTTTCTCTCCCCTCCCTATCACCATAGTTTTTTTTACAGACAAGACCAGGTGCTGTGCCCAGTCAAACAACACCATGTGAGAGGGAAAGAGAAGGATGATACCGAATACTAGAGTAACAATACCATCATAAAAGCCATCTGGCTCAGTGCATATCCCTTGATATATGCAGTTCCTGACATTGATGTAAAAAAAAATAACAGAAGACTAGCTCTATTTTATTTCGTGGCTGAGAAAGACAAAGTAGGACTACATGTAACTTAAGAGTTGGTTTCCTCTTAGCAGTTGTGCACATGCATACACATTTCTGTTGGGACCTATTCAAAAGTTTTACACAGCATTCCCCAGCCTGGTATTACTATTGTACTACAACTCTTCTCATGTACAGTTCTGTGAAAAAATATTTGCTCCTTTTACATTTTCTGATTTTTTTTTGCCACTGAATATTATCAGAGCTTAATGCTGGTTCTCTTAATATATGAAGGGAATTTAAAAGAACAAATAGTTGTTAATGATATAAATGAAATTAAGCACTAAAGCCATCTAACATGAAAAATGACTGTGAAAAAAAAAGAATTGCCTTCTTGGATTTAATGACTGCTTGTACCACTTTAACTGCAATAACTGCAATCAAACACTTCCTGTAATTATCAGTCCCTCACATTGTTGTGTAGGAATTTGGACCCATTCTTCCATGGTTATTTGTATCAGTTCAATAATATTTGGATGTTTTCTAGGTTAATTGTTTATTTCAGGTTCTGACATTACACTTCCATGGAGTTTTAAACCTGGACTTGGCTCTGGACTTTCCAAAACTACATTTTTTTCCTCCACAATGTTGCTTGTAAACCTGGGATCTCTTTCTTGCTGCGTGTCCCACTTAAGAGGAAAAAGGATTTAATATTCTCGTGAAAAATTGTTTTATCTAACAGAATTCATGTTTCCTTCAACTATGGCAAGTCATCAGAATCTTAAGAAGCAAAGTATGTTCATATAACAAAATTGATGTACTTGGCATTAGCTTCTACAATAAATCACAGTGTTTAGTTTTTGCTAGATATAGTGTCATCCACAGAACCACCAAAGTCCACTTTTGAGTCATCTCTCCAATTGTCCACTGGAACATCCACATACTTTTTGGCAAACCTAAGATCAGCTTCCCTGTTCTTCCTAGTCAGCTATGCTTTCCATATTGCTAATTTCCCATTTCTACCAAGTGCTTTTCTGGCTGTGAGATCATGAACACTTACTTTTAGTCAATACAAGAAATGATTGCAGATCCCTGGATTATTTTATGTTGACCTTTTAAGTGATTTTAACAGGACAGCTACTTTTGGGAGCATTCACTATTGTCCCAACATATTCTCCATTTCAATATTGCATCTTACTATATTAATGGAATCCCAACCTTAAGAAATGGCTTTAAAACCGTTTCCAGACTGATAGGCACTAATAACTTAGCATAAACTAACTCGGAATCTGTGCAATGAAAATTTCAGAATGATAAGGAGAGCCACAGATTGTGAGATTTATTTGGGCAGGTCTAATCCTGATTTTTTTCAATTATGTACTCTTACAACTAGCAGGGCAATTACTTTTTCACACCATGTTATATTACTTTGTTCATGAAATAAATAATGAAACAAATGCCTAACTTTAATTTTATTTGTTCTCTCAGAATTCTTTGATATTTTACTAGGTACATAAACAATTCTACTAATATTCAGTGGGTAAAATCTGAAACGCAACTAGGCTATGAAATAAGCACAGCAATTCTGTATGGCTACAGCAATTCTGTAGCAATTTTTACAATCCAAAATTATCATCTGAAAATTCCACTGATTCAAAAGGTTATGATTTTTAAATGGATGTGTGATCTATTTAAAAATAGCCATTTACCATGACCCATCATTTTCAGAAAACACAACTGGACTGCTTCTGCCCTTGAGTCTATCTGCAACTGAGCATCTTGTCTCCTAAAATAAGACAGGCAGCAGAACTGGATAAGGCTGAATAGTTTGGGTCAATCCTTCCACCATACTTTCAGCTCTCCTGCTCTTTTTCAGTTATGCTACAATTGTGCCTTGCTTCTGAGGCCTTCCTAACAAACAGCTATGTAAAATAATCTCAAATTGCAACTTCTTTGTCTGAGCAACATTCAACTGGCTTTTTTCCCCCTACACTACATACGCATGTTTGCTAGCTGATCTTTAACCAGACATTTTCAAACAATTGCTTTCAACTGGCTGTCACCCACGTGGGATCTGACATCACAGAACATCAAATAAATGTTTCTTTTTGGGGAGGGGAGGAGTGCTTTAATTGACTCAGGATGTCCAGTTCCTGTACTGACTGAATCATTGTTTCCATGAATGTGAGCTGCGTGCCCACCACCTGGGATAAAGAACTTATGACTTTCTGCTGCTCTAACTTCTTTGATTTAAGCAACTTAATACTTTGTTTATGGAAATTTTGCCTCCTGGTTTATAACATTCAACATCTAAAAAAGCCAAGTCACTATATTAGGTAAAATCCCATGTCTATTTTGGTATTTTAGTAATATTCTTTTTAAATATGCCTCCATTCTTTCTATTATTCTATAAAAGACTTACATTCATATAACAAAGATAGATGTGCCAAAATCTGAGTTTGCATTGACTTTTTGGTGAGGAGATGGTTTCTTTCCTTTCTCAACAGACCATGCTTGCTGTACGAAAGGATTATTCATTCCCATTTCTACTTTAAGAAGATAAGAAGAGGCATTTTTCCTTTCTGCAGAATTCATCCAGGACAGTTGTGGGATGAATTTCCTGGCTCAGAATTTATTTTTGATATTGCCTATAGGAACGCTGCCAGCACATGCTGCCTTGTTCATCCTTTGAAGCCTTTCTCAATGTGGAGCTTTCTAAACATGTTAGCTCATCTATTCCATTATCCTCAACCAACACGACTATGTTGGATGAACATCACGGAGATTTTAATCCAACACATCCAAAAGGTGTTGGGTTAAAGAAGACTGTCATATGTTATGGTCAAGATGTATACCTCTCCTGAGTTAAAGATTGAAAGGAAGGAAATGAAGCTGTCATTTACAGTAAGACCGAGAACCGAACTGGTGTTTATTAAATAGAAGGCTGCACTTCTCTGCTGTTGTGATTGATTTCCTAGTTTACTGCTACTTCATTTCCTATTTCATAGCTTCCTGACTTGCCAGAACAGCAGTAAAAGTAAACTGAGATTTGTACTTGTGCTTCTTGAAAAATAAGAAATCTTAAGTGTTCCCAGAACATAGCCAAATACACACAGACAAACAAACATGCACACCTTCAATCTTAATAAAGACCAAGGCATACAAAATGATTGACCATTTCACTAGATATTAAGGTAGTGAGGGGTAAACATATCAGTTATTATCAGACTTCTAGTTACAATGGTAGCATTGTTCAGATACTGAAAAACAGCATGGAAACAATCAGCAAAAGATAATAAAATGCCTCAGTAACTGTAAGATACATTCTAACAGAAATGATGTTTCATCTTGTCCATTTACTGACTAAGTTCAGGACATAGATAGACTTCATAATTACAAGAGAAGTGACCCTTGGATTTCAGGACCCACTTGACTAAAAAGAGACTAAAAGAATAACAGAGTTGGAAGGGACCTTGGAGGTCTTCTAGTCCAACCCCCTGCTCAGGCAGGAAACCCTATACCATGTCAGACAAATGGTTGTCCAATCTCTTC